TAGCTCAGCCACCCCTATAGTCACCAGAATGGAGGTGCACAGACAGCAAGGAACCAATGAACAGATACCAAAAGAAAAGAATGTCCAACCACATCTCGGCGGTTCTGTCAGGTGTCCGTGGCTGTTCTGATCCTTCCCCCACTTGGTGTGACCCAAGATGGCGGCTTCTGGAACAGTTGAGCGTCTTGAATTAGAAAGCAATGGATTTCTTGCTTCTACCACAAATTCTCCCAGATGTAAGCCTTTCAATCTTCTAAATATTCCTTTATATGTGGTTCAGAGTTTCTGGGACCATTCCTGAGCCTGCTTGGTCCTGTATTCTGTGTTATTGCTGACCAAGCTCCTTACTGCGCTTTCACCTGATCCGTCATCTTGTTTGTTCTCCCAAGACTATAAATTTTTACGGGAGCAGAAAGCCTCACCTTTCTCCCATAGAACAGCTGGAAGTTTTGAACTGCTGACTGAGACTAGCAGCCTGATTCTTAACCACTATGCTACCAGAGAAGACTGGTGTTCAATTCCTGGCCAGTGTGTCTCATGCACAGTCAATACCCCTGTCAGCAAAGGGGTGTGTGTTGCTACTATGCTGAACTAGTTTCAATGGAGCTTCCAGATGAAAACAAAATTGGAAAAAAGGCCAGCAGATCTATTTCCAAAAGTCAGCCAAAGAAATCCCCATGGATCAAAGTGGTCTGATCATGGCATGGTCAAGGACCGGGCATGGGATCACCATGACTTGAGGTCAGCAGCTAACAGCTATGTAAGAAATGCCACAGCACAGACTGCATACAATGCCAGGTTTCTACAATAAGGCACTCATGAGGTTACCTACCTTTGGCCTTACCTCAGGTTTCTAAAGCTATTACACGCATGCTCAAGGAAGAAATGGGTACAGATCCAGACCATCTCACTGACTGCAAACTCTAGACACCACCCAATTTCTGACTTGCAAAAAAAGGGAGGAAAGTAGAGTCTCCAGCAATGACCAGACCTAGAGCTAAATATTCCAACCATATGCAACAACCCAAATTGTCTCACCGTCTTCCCTGTGTCTGAACAAGCCCAGGTAGGCTCCTGACAACCTGACCATAATGTGAGCTGCAGAGAGGGGGAAAAGCAAACAAACAAGCAAAACCAACCATCTCACCTGTGACATCACCACTGCCATCTCAAACGTCCCCACAGTGTCCATGTTGGCCACAATGATGGGGATCCCTGAGTAGGTCTGCCTCGAGTTTCGAAATGTGAAGGTTCGCTCAAGATCAACCTATTGGGAGAAAGGCATGAGAAAGTTAAGTGTTCTGATCTTGTACAATACATGTCAAGCACGAACTTCCAGAGTTTGGAGCAAGAACACAAAGGAATTGTGTGGCCCTTGCTCCCTGGATTATCTGTGTCCCAAAGACAGGTGAGTCCTAAAGAAATCAGGATTGTATTTCAGCTGAAACGGGCTTCTTACCATGGTCAAGGATCATGTCTAGCTTGCTAGTACTGCTGGAACACAAGTAACCACAGGTGGTTGACTCTAGAGAACAGAAATTTATTTTCTCAACAGTTCTGGAGGTTACAAGTTCAAATGAGGATCTTGGCTGTGTTGACTCCTTCCTTGTCAAGTAGCTCCAGCCATTGGCTCCTTGATTTGGAGACATGCTCACAGGGCACCTGTCTACCTATTCCCACCCACTACGTGTGTCTCTGTGTCTCTTGTGTCTCTTCTGCTCTTTATAGAACTCAGAAACCATTAGATTATCAGATTTAGGGTCCACCCTCCACTAGTATGGCATCTAGAGCGTAACAAAACAAAAGCCTGACTTCCAAACAGGATCACATCAGAGGCATGATGGTGGTAGTGTTTATGTGCTGTGGAGCTGGTTCCAACTTATAGCGACCCTGAATAGGGTTTCCGAGACTGTAAATCTTTATGGGAACAGAAGTATAAGGGCCAGGAATTCAACATATATCTCAGGGAGACAATTCAATCCATTCCAGGTCAATACAATGTTCTTGATATTCATCCATTAAAGCCAAGTCTCTGGGTTGGAGACTTCCTCTCCTTCTTTAATAGCCTCTGCTACTCCCGGCTTTCTGCCCTAGCCTGGTTCTTCCAGCCCTAATAATCAATATCCCTGTTATATTTCCCAGGCACTGGAGGGAACATTTCCTTGTGGGAAAATCTGCTCGATTCTTCCCATTTCACAAATCTAGCCAATCCTCACCTTCTACCTAGAAGCAGACACTCCAAATTCACCCTACAGTGAGCTCCATAGCATTCTTCTCTTAACCTTTCAACATCCTCAGCAGTTGTATAATCATGAGCATCATTCAAGTTGCTAGAGGGTTGTGCACTGCAATGCTATGTTCACACATATAAACACTTGTTCCTTCGACTTGCAACAGCTGGAGGGAGGGCCCTTTCATTCTACTTTATCTCCAAGTTCAGAGCGTTTATGACTAACTCAGCTAACAGGAATCCAGGATATTAACTCAGCCAGGATGGGGCCTCAGCAAAAGCTGTAAGCTAGGGTCAGGTACTGCTAACCAGGGTAAACTGTTGTATACTGTCAAGAGGAATCCAACTCACACTGGCTCTGTAGGACAGAGTAGAAATACCCCATAGGGTTTCTAAGGCTGTAAATCTTTACAGAAGCAGACAGCCTCATAGTTCTCCCTCTCCTAGGCTGTTTTTGTGGTTCGGTGCCATCGAATCAGTTCTGACTCACAGTGATCCAGTATAGGGTTCCCGAAGCTGTAAATCTTTACAGGAGTAGAAAGCCTCATCTTTCTGAGGAGTAGCTGGTGGGAGTAAACTGCTAATTTTGTGGTTAGCAGTCTAGTGTTTATCCTAAGATGTTGTTATTGTTGTTGCTACGTGATGTCAAGTCAGTTCCGACTCCTAGGGACTTTGTATAGGGTTTCTGAGGAGTGGTTGGTGAGTCTGAACCACTGACCTTTCAGTTCAAATCAACACTATAGTCCAGCACAGTAACCTTCAGTGCCACACCAGGATACCATTCCAAAATTAGTTCTTCAACCCAGACAGGTCTCTCATACTGCAGGTTGTTCCCAAGGTTGTTTTTTTTGGCTAGGTTTGACAATGGGGCAAGATCAGTGGTTTGAACCCACCAGCAGCTCCTCAGGAGAAAGATGAGGCTTTCTGCTCCTGTGAAGATTTACAGTCTTAAAAACCTCTGTGGTGCTGCTATGAGTTGGAATTGACTCAAGGGTAATGGATGTTCCTTGTAGGTAGGATGACCAGTTTGCAAGCAGCTGCTAACCTTAAATTTAGTGGTTCAAATCCAATTACCGGTACCAGGAAAAAAAAGTTTGACAAAAAAAAAAAGGTTTGCTTCTTTAAAGATTTACTGTAGTTGCTGTTGTTAAGTGCTGTTGAGTTGGTTCTGACTCATAGCGACCCTGTATAGGGTTTCTGAGGAGCGGCTGGTAGGTTTGAACCTCCAGCTTTGTAGTTCAAACCAACCTTGAGGCGCAGTACATTATCCTGCAGCGCCACACCTGTTGTTAGGTGTTGTCAAGTTGAATTTGACTCATGGTGGATTCATGTGACAGAGTTAAACTTCCCTATAGGGTTGTCTAGGCTGTAATCTTTATGGGAAGGAGTCTTAGTGGTGTTGTAGGATAACCACTGAACTGCTAACCTCAAGGTCGGTGGTTCAAACCCACTAGCTGCTCTAGGGGAGAAAGATGAGGTTTTCTGCTTCCATAAATACTTACAGCCTCAGAAACCCTAGACAGGGTCACTATGAGTCACAATTGACTCAATGGCAGTGGGGTTTTGGTTTTAATCTTTATGGAAGAAGACTGCTAGGTCTTCCTTCAGAAGAGCCACTGCGTGGGTTCGCACTGTCAGCACTTTGGTTAGCAGCCAAGCACTTAGCTCTGTGTCGCTATGGCTCCTCCCATAAAGATTACAGCCAAGAAAACTGTATGAAACATTTCTATTCTGGAGTCAGCCTTGACTCAATGCCAATGGATTTGGTTTTTCTTTTCTTTTTTTGATACCTGTAAAAGGTACAAACAGTTAAGTGCTCAGCTGCTAAACAAAACACTAGATGTTCAAGTCTACACAGATGCACCTTGGAAGAAAGGCCTGGCAATCTACTTCTGAAAAATCAGTCACTGAAAACCCCTGGAACACAGTTCTACTTGATACACATGGGCCACCAGGAGTTGAACTCCACTGGATGGCATGTGTAAATACATTACCCGGTTTGGAAATAGGGGATTTCTTTGGTTATGTTAAATGAGATCATTCTAGAGGAGGTGTGATCCTAAGCCTTCTCACTTCTGAGTTAAAACAAGCCACATAGACATAGAGACACAGCCATTGGTTGATAAGAAAGGCAGATGACTGAGGGTGTTATCTACACGGTTTTCTGTAGTGCTGTTGAGCCACTTCAACTCATAGCAACCCAGAACAGGGTTTCTGAGGAACGGCTGGTGGGTTTGAAATATACAAGGTTTACTTGGTTTGGTAGGTTAAGTGCCATAGAGTCGCTTCCGACTCATAGCGACCCTGCATATGGTTTCTGAGGCTGTAAAATTTATTTTATTTTTTAATTGAAGCATATAGGATGCTTTATTTTGAATTATGTGATAGTTTACATGGGAGAACGTTAGCTTCACATTGATCCCATCGTATATCATTTCCTTGCCATGGTTACAATCTCCTCCATGCATCATCCACCAACCATAGGGTAGACCCCACAAACCTGCCCCACTGGCCATCCACACACAGCCCCTCTCCCTCTCCAGGTCCAAAGTCCCCAGTCACTCCCTCTCTCCGCGTCGTCGCCTCTGCCTACATCTCTGGCATCACTGCTTCTCTGGGTAGGGTTTCCTTCTCCGCTCTTCTCCCTTGATAGTCCCAGAGACCTCCACCCCTAGACTACAAAGTTAATCACTTCCCTCCCTTTGCCATAAATCATCTACCTTTACATTTCCAGCCCTTACAATCAGTCCTGGTAACAATTATTCACCATTGTATTGCAAGATACCTATTCCTTTCATCAGCCCCACCTAGATAGATTGGATACTACTCAGTGGCGATTCTACCATGCTCCATGACCTCTGGATCTAGGTTCCCTCTTGAAAGCTTGTCAGCCAGTCACTTCTTGCCTTTGTAGCCCCCTCCCCTCCATTCTGGGTAGCCAATGTCCAAGTTGTCCATCCCTGTCCTCTCCTTGTATGGAGGAGGTGGGAGTGATCCTCACTATGAAGATTTGTTCCCTCTTTTGAGCTACTGTTTCTATAGGTGTAGGTCAAGTTCATCAAATTGTGTCAGATTATTCTTTCTTCTTCTGGTTGAGCTCTGATCATCTAGCCATTGAAGCTAGGTCAGGTGGGTATTATCTGCAAGTGTGGGTGTTCTTATGCATATGCCCTCTCTTCTTATCAGCTGGATGCTTCACTCTCCACTCTAGTCCTCTGTGGCTACATCACTAACTCTGGGCCCAAGAGTCCCCAGGTCTTACCACACTGCTGGCCAGCCAGGTTTCCAGCAGGGTTCACAGGAGTCTATTGAAGCTCATAGCTTCATTGTTGCTTTTCCCTCACTTCCCCTTATCCGTGACAAATGTGGGTCTTAGTCTTCAAAGGAGGTTTGCCCTGAGGGGACCCGACCACTAGCCTTGATGTCTCCTGGGGGAGCCACTTGTTTGTTCTTGTAGTAATCAGTCGATCTGCCTGTATTGCTTTGTATTTTTCCTGTCAGTCTTTCAGGAAGTATTTTCTGTTCTTTTGGCTGCTCCAGGCTGGTCTGCTTGTCCTTTCAAATGGAAATTTCCCCTCAGAAGATTCTGGATGCTGTTCAGGAATCCTTCTATGGTCTTGTGTAATACAGAGACTCCGCAGGAAACCTCCTTCACTGGGCACGTTGTAGCCCCATTTTAGGTATTTCAATCAGTTATAGGTAGAAGAGGGACTTATAAACTTTCTATGGTGATGTTTCTGGCTATTCCTTTCTCTCCCCCTCCAGTGTCTATTTTATAGTGGTATGCCAGGGAAACCAAGATTCAAAAGACAACCAAGCATCTTAACATTGTTTCCCTCCTTTTCCCCATTCCAACCATATCTCAATCTCTGTATCCCAGAGCCCTGTTGTTCCAGGGTTGTGCATATAGTGGCTGTAAATTTTTACGGGGCCAGAAAGCCTCATCTTTTCTTCCATTAGCAGTTTTGAACTGCTGACCTTGAGGTTAGCAGCCTGACTCATAACCACTACTTTACCAGAGCTACTAAAACCTGAAA